CGATCTCTGTCACAAATCCCGGATTTGCTATATTAAAATTTGTACATAAAACGGTAAATAGATTAAACGACAATTCAGGGGTGCCCCCTCAACAGTTGCAAGGCATACATCTTTGATCGCCATGCTTGGTTGTAGAAGATGCTAATATTGAACCGTTGGTTCACATCTTCCATGATTTTTTTCCACGGTACACTCTCCTACAATCCTTTAAACTCCATGTCAATATACGACCTAAAACCTTTTTATTCACATTACAGTGGTTTGGGTGGACTTGGGATCTTGAACATGTGTGTTCATCATGCAATTTTCGTACCTGAAACATACTGGTATGATCGACGGAGACAACCATTAAATGCCAATCATAGTCCGAAGCAGAGTGACACACCGCCTCGTACCGGTGTTTGGTTGATTTCTTAACCTTGATCTGAAAGTTTTCATAAATGCATTTTAATCCCAATATGAGCTTCAGTGCTTCCTTCGAGTCATAGGTTTGGAGAACTTTGACATGAGATGTAGGCTGGTAGGAAATGTTTCCCTGTCTAGTTTGGATAACAGGGTTTGGGCAAGATGTTAGGTCAGGAATACCCCAAACACTATTCCTTACCGGCTGGATTTCTTCAGCAACAGAGTTATCATCTTCGGGTATATTCAAAATTTTTGCAGCAATAGAAACATCTTCAGCCATATCTACCTCCAACAAAGTTTTTGACTGTTCCAAAGAGTAGATCAGGTACGGGTTGGGAGAATGTCTCGGAGACATGTTCAAATTTTGAACCAAATAACTGTCATGATCAACAGTATTTTTTGCTTCAAAATATGAATTTCCACCAAAACCACTAGGGAAGAAAGTTTTTGGATTTCCACCACTGCCACCATTGGGGAAGAAAGTGCTTGGATTTCCACCGGTACCACAACCGGGGTAAAAAGTGCTTGGACCATATGGGTTTGCACCACTACCATCGGGGAAGGGAATTCTTGGATTTCCACCGCTGCCACCATTGGGGAAGAAAGTGCTTGGATTTCGACTGGTACCACAACCGGGGTAAAAAGTGTTTGGACCATATGGATTTGCACCACTACCGTCGGGGAAGAGAGTGTTTGGATTTCCACCGCTAACACCACCGGGGTAAAAAGTGTTTGGACCGCCAGGTAAATTTTCATGGATTACGGCACTTGATGGATTTCCACCATAACCACCATCGTCGGCCACAAAGAGTGACAACATTTCTGGTAAACTTTGATGAATTGCGTTATGGAACATTAGCACATCGGCGTCATCGCTTAACTGATATAATATTTGTAAGGAATTTGTTTTATAAAATAAAATGAAAGAAGTACGTAAAGTTAACTTTTTCGTGACACATTTAACGACACCAAAATGCGTTATTGGCGAAGGCAAACGTAATACATGTACGGGGGAGCTTAACGGAAGGTACTCTAAGACACTATTTATTTCTTGGAATGAACCGCCACTTCGAAGATACACCAAGACATCATCACTTTGACGTGATTTCATATTTGTGTTTAAGGGTGATGAGTTGTGATGGTAGATTGTGTTTAATGGGTTAAGGGTTAATGATTGTGATGGTTTATTGTGTTAAAGGGTTGTGAGAGTAGAATATATGAGAATATAAATGACAAAGGAGGTGTAAAAAATAATGAAATAGAAGGTTGATATTTATAATGAAACTTGTTGCATTAAAAGACGATATAAGATTCAACCCAAAATAAGCATGGACCGCCCTGGGAAGATCCAGTGAGGTGGGGGTGATCCCATATATCGAGGCAAATAGTGTTCGGTTTCCTAAAGTAGATACATGTAGGCTGTAACACCCATAAATTTTCGTTCTCCGTTTCGTTTGCGTGGTAAGCGTCCAAAACATCTTTATATTTTTTTATATATATCTATCAAATGGTAGTCTAGACCCTAGTACTTTATTTAATCTTTCAATAGTAAGGGGGGTTGAAGGGAAGATTTTTATATAAATCTTTTGGTTTGAATAGAGTTTTAAAAAAGGGGGGGGGGTGGTGTTACCCACTACCTTTTGGATCCTAACCTTCAGACTTTTCCCTTACCTCAGAAATTTTCCCTCTGAACCTTGGGTCTTTACCTTATGTACCTCTTGGTAGTAAGGTGGGGAAAGCAACTTTTGAAAGGAAAG